ATTCACGATTTCACATGAAGACAATAAATATAATTTTTAAAAGGAATACAATAAAAAACTAACCTTACGCAGAATTTAACAATTCAACAATGCATAATTTAATTCAACAATAACATTTGCCCAGTAAAGCAACATAATTAAAGACTGGCCTGTAGCATAATATGCTACAGGCCAGTCTTTAATTATTATGTTGGGCAACTACCAACATATATATACTCTTTTTATTAATTTGTTATTCCAAAAAATTAAAGAAAAATGATAACAGCTATAATCATAATATGTACACACAGAACTGAATAATAATATCAATAACAACAACAACAACAATAATAATAATAATAATAATGTGTTCAGTAGTGGGTCAATGGGTGACATGTGAGTGAGTGATATAAGCTGCACTGCAGAGAATGAATGAATACACTAATAATAATAATAATAATAACAATAATAATAATAATAATAATAATAATAATAATAATAATAATAATAATAATAACTATAATTATGGCTCCTGCCTATATTGTTACATAGTAGGTGTTACATTTCCAGTGTTAGTGGGTGTGACCGAATGAGAGAGGTGAGAACTCTCACTTCGTTTGTGATGCCTAGAGCGATGGACTGGTCTGTTCTTAAAGGAGAACAGTGATTCCTCTAGCTCCTGGTTAATGTTCTTGATACACTGATACTTGGACTCTAAACTCTGCAGAGTATGAGCATATGATGTTCATGTAGTCAGTATATGATCATTCACACTACACTAAGAACAGTACTTAAAGCCCAGCATACACTATGCAACATTTGCTGCAAACAACTTGTTGCATACAACACAGTTTATACAGGAGTCAATGGAGCTTGCAACATGTTGCATGAAATAGGAAACAGTTCTATTTCATGCAACATGTTGCAAGCTCCATTCACTCCTGTATAAACTGTGTTGCATGCAACAAATGTTGAATAGTGTATAACTGAACCTTATCACCTACTGTTGTACAGTTTAGTTCAGTTCAGTTGTATTCTCATTTCTCACTTCACATGGTGCATGTACATGTATGTGTATGGATGGTATTATACATGGTATGTGTACATGTAGATTATCAAAGTGCTTGCCTTTGTTTTTTCTACATATTTCTCTTGTGCTTTCCACAGGCTTTCCTTCAAAGTTGCTATCTGTCCTTCCTTGTTCTTAATGTCAGTCTCTCTATCCTTCAATAGCATCTGAAGCTTTGCTACTTCTCTTCTTAGGACAGACACTGAATTACTTGCACCTAAGGGAAAGATAAAGTAAAAATAATATATCAATGTATTGTACTTATTATTAAACACTTACCTTCTTTTTCTTTGACCAGTGATTCATTCAGTTCTTTAGTTTGTTGTGTGTGTACATTTTCTCTACGGAGAGTCGATAGTGAGAGTTTTTGTTGATGATAGAGTTCTTCAAGGAGCAGGTGTCCT